AGAAACCTTGAGAAGTGTGGGCAATTGAAGAGCATGCTTATTGCACCCACTCACAGAAACCTTCAAGGGTTGTTTCTGTGCAGCAGGACTGAATATTTACCTCCCACCCATACCCCCCACAGCCCAGCACACCCCTTGTTTCAGTCCACCAGTCTGCAGATCTGTTGTGTCCTCTCTCACTTTAGTTGCCAGTTCTCTGCTTTCCTGCAATCAGTGCCCACGTTTCTAATCCCAGGCTTCTAAATACGACAGACCTCTGCTTGCTTCTCTATCCCTTTTGTTTTCTGCTGCTTTTCTTTCTCTCTGGTTCTTCGGGCTGCTGGGATCACTATGCGCTATCTGGTTCTCCTTGGGGGTACACAGTCCCATGGTGTTACCGCCAAAGAGATATGAAGATGAGTTAATTGCATTAATCCACATCACGTCCCTCAAGTGTACTACAACAATGCTTCTCAAGCTTCCAATGTGCACATGAAACAACTGGGGGCCTTGTTAAGATGTAGTCTCAGAAGCTCTGTCAGAGGATGTGAGATTCTGCATTTTAACAGGTTCCCAGGTAGTACTGATGATGCTGATGGAAGAACAGCACTTTGTAGAGAAGACTAGATTCTGATGCGCTGTGTGTTTATCGTAAATACAATCTGCTTGATGTGAGGCACTGTGCCTTAGGCATCTTTATATACCCTTCCACGTCCAGCACTGTACCTGGTGCGTGATAGATACTGAAATGTTGCTTGGATTTTGATTGAACTGAGCACACCTGAAATACAGAACTTTCTTTGCCTACTTCTCTTTTAAGTAAGTGGTTTTCAAACACTGCTAAAAATCAGTTGAATCAATGTACATTTCTTAAGGCTCTTTTTATGTAAAACACTAGAAAAAATATAAACAAAAACAAATTATAGCCCTTGTCCTCAAGGAGAACACTGGCATGCTTACTACTAACTGTAATATGTCTCCTAGAATTGTGGAAATAATTTAAAAATTGTCGAAGTAGCAGTGAAGGCAAATTAACCTGTTTATGCGACTAGCAATTTGACCTTATGTAATTTAGGTGTCATTTTTCCATGTGTACAAGGAGTCTAATGGGATTGTTGTGGTATTAATGCGTGATAATGCATGTAAGAATTGAGTTTCATGCCTGGCACATAGTAAATGATCCCTGCTAGGATTTCTTGTAGCGGTGGTGGTAGCAAGTGTAGTAGTAGCAATATTTACTGTACTCTTCATTCTCCAGCCCATTTAGTTTAGGAAAATACCTTGTTCCTTTCCTTCCTCTCTATATCCATCTATTATCCTAATGTTTAATTTCACTTTGTAGGGCTTATCTGCAGTGTAATCTTAACTTTGTTTATGCTTAAAGTTTAAGCTTAAAAGAAAATGCATTTTAGGATTCCGTCTGTTTCCCTTGGTGTGAAATCTGCTATGTACACTGTAGCGGAAGGACAGAAGGAAGGTCTTTTCCTACCCGGACTCTGCTTAAACCAAACTGTGGTTCTACTCACCCTCGTGACTTCATAAACTTACTTGTTTTCCAGTGGAGAAGACAAAGTTGGTTGAGGCAACAAATGTAGCTTTTGATGTAGATGCCATCATTAACAAAATTTTAAGGAGACCGACGTGGGGGCGGTTGGCACATGAGCCTGTGAATCATAACTATTATCATTGCCTTATTGAGGAGAAATACTTAGTTAAAAAGAAGACCTTGGGAATAAACATTTATTATTCTTCCACTCCCTGGGTCCTTCTTCATTTTCTATGTAACCCAGATGTCAGCTGCCTGGATGTCTTCATGTCCTCCAGTTTACTAGGGTCAACTTCTTTGAAATAGAGTTCAAATGGGCTCATCACAGTCACGCGTACAGGGAGTTCCCAGTGTCTCTCCCAGTATTTTCAGCGATTGTTTAAGTGGAGTTTTCATCTCTCCTGGTCTTTGCTTCTGAGCTGCTTCTTATGCTTACTTCACACAGGAATAAAGAAACTGAAATACCCCATGCCACCAATGTAACTTTTTTTTTACCCAAGTTAGATAATGCGAGTGAAAACACTTCAATAAGGATAAGGTGCTACCGAGGGGAAGTAATAATCTTACCAAATTAGAAAGTGACATAAGCCATTGTAAAGGCTCCAAGCTCCCCTTGGAAGAGGAAAAACTGAAGGTAATGAAACAGGATCTGTTTGTTTCATCTGGCTAAAAATAGAGAAATGTTGAAATCCTGACAAGATTTTGAAATAAATTAGGACAGTCTGTGACTTATAATAAGAAAGAAAATTTGCCCATGAAAGTTTAAAAGGGAACAGCAAAAGTTAGTCATGTGATTGCAAGAACACCACAGAACATTCAGCACTGAGACGGGGAGAGGGTCACCGGAGTGCTCTGAAGCTGGGTGAACTCGTAATTACAAGGAACATACGTTCCTCGCCCTTTTTAAGAAGTAGAGCCACATGGTCTGTCTCGTTTTCTGATGACTGCCAGCGTTGTGCTGAAGCCGCTGCTGCCGGCCGGCCGGCCATCAGCTGCTTCCACGGCCCTCCTGCGTGCACAGTATTCAATCTGCTCCTTGCTTGCACTACATTCAGTTTTTCCAAGAATGTGTTCCTAACCTTATTTCAGAAACTCTTCCTAACATGATATTCATAGTTTCCTAACTCCCACACCACTTCCCTGTGATCTAATCCTCAAAGTACTTGGATGTACTTGGATGTACATCTTACTCCTTCGGACTGAAGGAAATTCTGATTGATGAGGTCTTGTTATTCCCCTTTCGAGGTTAGTTGCCTGGCACCTTAATCCCTGGGAGAGGTAGTACATAATAAGGCAGGTCAGTTTTGCTGCAGGGAGACTGGGATGGAGTCACAGCTGAGCAGGGCTGGGTGAGGGAGAGACCCCACAGCACTGCAGTGCCTGAGCTAGACCGAGAGCTGCCGACAGGAACAGGCGCGCTGGGGGCCCAACCCTCCTCCTTAATGATCCGCCCACGTTGAGGGCTCAGAGGACAAACTTAGGGCCCTCTCAGCAGCCTGGTACTTATGAGAGAGGCCATGACCTGTGGGGCTCCGAAGAAACACAGGGGAGGTGGGGAGAAAGGGGTCACTTCAGGATTAGATGATTGTCTTGTTCCTTTGAAAGAACGGGCCAGGGTGGCTAAGCCATCGTGCAAGCCGGGGGAATTGCAAAGGCGATTTTTAAGAGCAACAGCACTAAAGGAATTTCCTTCTCTTCCTGCCAGCCAGTGCAGACATGCCTGGTTAGCGCCAGCCTCCTGGGGGTCCAGTTGGCCCGTTTTATTGTTGAACCAGGGTGGTGCATCATTAGTTGGGGTTCTGCTTTCAAAGGTCATCCTCTGAATCTAAAAAAGGAAAGGTTTTAGGAAGGCACTTCACACAGAGAAGTGGGAACCAAATGTGGTCAGCCACTGAAAAGTTGTGTGTGGTTGGAGTCAAACCTCCACCCTAGCATTCTGTAAAACATGTCTATTACTCCTGGAGTACTCAAAATAGATTCAGTAACTCTCTCCAGTTCACATCCTGAAACTAACTGGTGATACTGTGATGACATTTTTCAAGGTAAAAATAGAGCAGTGAAGCTTGTGTTTCTTCTTCAGTGTCTGCATTTGTCTAAGCACCTTTACGTCAGGCGTAAAGTTAGTGATTCCGTAATTCAGATGAAAACAATAAAAAAAATTATTTAAAGCCAATGTACACAGAAATGACTAGCCAACATGACCACTGTTTTTAGTGCAGAGATATATTCAAGATCACTAATACTTGTTTTATTTAATCATGTGCCTTTTACCTGAAAGATAATGGGTACATACAGATGAGTACACAGGGAAGGATTCAGCTTCGCGCCATCCAAATTAAATTCTAAAAGCCAGGAAATTCATCATTCTGACATATCCTTGCAAATGCAGAATGTGCGTTGAAGTATCTCTTGAAATGTTTCTTGTTTAAAAGAGGAATACATTTAGCAGATCATGTTAATTAGAAATAATACCTGAGTAAGGTCTTTAATAATGTGTCTCTTTTTAAACATAAAATTGAGGCACTCAATTTTCAAGGTGCAAGAATGGATGTTTCCCCTGACTACCTGTTTTGAATTTTGAGGTTTTCTTTTAAACAGGCTGCATTTGCTTTTACTTGAGTTTTCTTCAGAGTCCATTGTTTTTCACTGTATTGTAATTTAGGTTTACAAGTATTATGTGTTAAAAACGGAGAAGCTAGGAAAATATATTAAAAGAACACCACCTACTATTAGGATTTCTTGTAATTAGAAGTATAATAGTCTTTTAATTTGTAGAAGGTGTGTCCTTTTTAAGAATATCTCAGAAGTCCAGTTTGGGATATTGAGAACTTATTTAGTAGACCTCCATTTTGACATTTTTGGTGAAATATCTTATGGAAAGAACAAGAGAATTTTATAACTCATGAGTAAAAATTTCCAGTTACATCTCTAAAACCATTTTTGTAGAATTTCAATGTTACCAAAATAAATAAGTAATGTAAGTTTGCCTTCTATCTCATTGTTCTAAATAACTTCTAGTAATATTAGATGTGATTGAGCAGTATAGCTTCTTAAGTGGAAAGTGGTCATCATTTTCAAGAGAATTAATGGCTCTTCAGGAGATATGTAGCTTGGCAATGACAAGACTTTGGGATCCTCAGAGTTGCCATTAAACAACACCTTCCTCTTGCAGTTTCCAGTGTGACCTTGGTCTCACCAGGCCTAGAAGATAAAGCTGGAAAGCAAGTGTGCATTTTTCAAATGCATTTGGTCAGAACTTTTGTGAAGTTTTCTGAGCATCTTAGAATATGCATGTTTCATGGATCCTACTCGGTGACGCAGCAGGTTACATTTAATCCTGCAGCCTCTGTTCAACCCAAGCTTCAATTCGACAAGCCAAAGTGTGCTTTTGCCAACACTGAGACACAAAGAGTTAGCATAAAGCACTGATGTTTGCATCGAAGTTGTGTGAGTGATCTCTTCTCTTCTTTTCCAGGTGCTTCATCCCAAATATCTACGCAGCTCTGTTCACTGCAGCTCTCGTTCCTTTAACGTGCCTCGTGGTGGTGTTTGTCGTGTTCGTCCACGCCTACCAGGTGAAGCCACAGTGGAAAGCATACGATGATGTCTTCAGAGGAAGAACAAATGCTGCAGGTTTGGAAGAGACCATATTTGTACTTTGGAGATGGGAACTTTTTAATGGTGGGGGAAGTGTCAGTGAAAATTTTTTATCTAAAAAAAAGAGTGAAGTTATATTTAGCTTTCAGCTCTGTAAGTGAAGCTCTAGTCTCCAGTCACCCCTGCTTCTTGGTGCTTCCTGACCTCTCCTCTTCTTTAGGTCTCCACAGGTTTTATTCCTGGTTCCAGTCACAGCCTTTGGGAGTTTATCCTCAAGGTTTCCTTCAACTTAAGCAGTAATAACTTACATTCAACCTATGAAATTGAGTCATGTGTTTCAGAATCTGAGAAGTCCTCACAAGCAAACCTCCACAATGCTTAGGAGTGCTGTGTTTTGCATGTGGAGTGCTGACTGTGGTGACAGATGTTTAAAAACATATGTGATCAGACAGTTTCATAAGTGGCTACACATGTCTGGTTATTTAAGAGTGCAAGTCTTTCCAGCTCAAATTGGCTTTCACTGCAGCTCATTTTTTCCCTTTGAATCATACTTAGAACAGGTTTTTATGATCTGATTATTTTTTTGTTGTTAGATTAGAGTCTCAGGAATTTTTTTTTTAACTAGGAACAATAACCACACACCTATATAGAGAAAACTCACTCTAAAATGGTGTGAGTGACTGCAGTATCAGGGACTGGGCAAATCCCTCTTGGGACATGAGGAAGAGGAGTCTCCTCTTTTCTAAGCTTTGACAAATCTAAAGCCAAATGAGTGAGAGGAGTTCTTCACATTGTAAGTACTTCTCAGTATTTAAGCAAGATACCATGTATGAAGTCCCTAGAATAGTGTCTAATATATTCTTGGAGCCTCACTAGATGGTGCCACTTACAGGGTAATATAAGGAGTCACTCTAATGTAAGAAAAATCTTCTAGCTCCTGAATTAGATCAGCGAAGATATGAAAAGATTTTCCTCATGATATAAAGATAAGGGACTTTTTTAATATTATTTTGTGAGGTCATTTATAAGATACCTATATCTAGCTGCCTCTTCAGTATTCTCTCTCATTTAGCATGGAATCACTGTGGAGACAGGCATATTGTTTTAGGTTATGGTTAATCTTAGATTATTTTAGTGGAAAACTATTTAACATAGAAATTCTACTTTTTCATTGGACACAGGATTTTTCCAAAACTTACGCTTTTGTTCAACTTGGGATTCATTTTATTACAATGCCTATTCCTAAGGGAAGAATTGTTTATGTCCCCAAACAGCAAGATTTATTTTGTTTTCTGTATAACGTGAAAGTGCCAATGTTTGCATGTTTTCAATGATGATAACATAAGGACCTAACACAACGAACTAATCCTTTTCATGCCTAAATCACTTCTGTGCCTTTTGGATATGATCCAGTATGGTTGCAATACATAAACAATATTTAATCCAAAAAACATAGCACTGAAGCATTAAACAGAATTCTGAAAGTTCCAGCACACTTGTTTGTCAACTAGGGAAACTCCTCTTGCAATGAAATACTAATAGAAGCATTGCTGTATTGTACCTTTTTTTAATACAAAAATATTTATGATGTTTCTAACTTCTGTATTCCCATGACAATTCAAACTAATACTCATTACCTCATACTTGGACGCCTACAGTATTTTCCTGACTGGTCACTAATTTGAATCTTTTACTTCTCCATTTCATTTTCTCAGATGCCTGTATTTCAGAAATATAAAGTGGATCACCTCTCTCCAGCATTATAGTCCTTCAAGGTCTCTCTCATTGCCAAAAAAAAAGTTCAGTCTTTTTTAGCCTACAATATAAGAGTCTCCACAGTCCACCTTGGGTCATCTTTCCATCCCCAAGTTAGATACTATTCATCCTGCATCCTGACTCTACCAGTCTCTTTAGTCTTTCCTAAAACTGCCTGCGACTGGCATCTTTGTCCATGTAAGGAACCCTCAACTTTGAACTCCTCATCATTAATTGATAAAACCTGTGTATTTAATAATTGATATGGGGAATGTGGATGGGAGAGAGGTGCGAAGGGCTTATCACCCATCATTAGTTCCCCAAAGCTGTCCCATATAAACCCATAATCTAAATAAAAATTGTGTGCTGGATAAGCACAAGTTAATTCCCCTAGACCTCACTTCCAACAAGATATTACTCACTGTTTTGTAAAAATCCTGGAAGCTCCCAATATACTACCTCTACTGTGAAACCTTTGGAATTTTCTCTTTACAGAGCCACACCAATAAGAATTACTCATTCCCTCATCTGTGCCCTTAAAGAAAGCACTGTGTCCCTGTGGCCAGTATAGCACTTACCTTGGAGTGGTGACCTGTTTAGGAGTGTGTGGCTGATTTCTTTAATAAACAATGAATTCTTTTAGGGCAAGAGCAATTATTATTCATCTCTGTATCACCAGTGTGTTACAGAGTGCTCAGAGGATAGCAGCAGCATAATTAATATTCATTAAATAAGTGAATAAATTAAAGATCATGAATGCATCATAAAGTCTTATAATTAAGCTAAATATGGCATAAGAAGAGAAATCTATCATATCATCAAAAGTAGAAATTCAAAGATTTATCTCATTGATCTGTTCATAGGTATCACCCTTTAAAGGTTATTATTAAGACTATTTTTTCCTTGACTTCTGTGATTTCCAGAACTACATGTTCAGCTTTGATGTGACTGATCTTTATATTTTATTAGCAATCTATTATAACTCACCTCCACTTGTGTATGCTCCACTTACCTTGAATTCAAAATTTATAGAAAAAAATTACTATCTAGACTACCAAGGAGAGTTTGATGTGCTCTTTAAATCTGTCTTCTAAAATTGACCTGAAAAATGTCTACTTGAGATGACACTATAAATGCATGTTTTGCCCACTACCCTGCTCCATATATTTAGCAGTTAAAGATAAGCTGTAACAATAGAAAATTTAAAAGGAGATTAACATCTCTCTAGATCAGAAATAGTGCAGGAAGACAGAGTGATAAGCTGGTCTGAAGTCGTGGACCCAATATTTTCTGGGTCCACAAGCAAGTGGAGGAGGGAGTATCTCAACTGCTATGGTGCTGAACTGGAAACAAAGTCTCTCACCCAAAGCAGGTAGAACTGGGTAACAGTACCTGAAAGGATCCTGAAAAAGGACTGTACAGTACCTTGAGCTTTATATTATAGAAATCTGGGAGCCCAAGTAGAAAGCAGACAAAGCATCTTATTAAATACCTGGGCCAAGCTGTCTTGAGTTCACAGACTGTATCTGTCATATCCATGTGTCCCCATGGGGTCAGGAACCCCCAGACATCAAACTAGTCCTTGTTGGACAGCAGGGATGAGTAAAGGAAACTTCAAAACCACTACAAAAAGGGAGCCAGAGAGAGAACATGTGGAGAACACAAGTAAAGTAGCAAATGCTTTCTATTCACAATAAGCTGCAATATAAAAATTCCAAACATTGGAGGAAAACGGACAAAAACAGCCCTGGAATCAGCAACCAAAAGAATAGCTTTCATCTAGAAAAATATTTTAAAATAAAATAAACTATAAATAACTTTAAGTGTGTTAGGGTCCTCAATAATATAAAGCAGGAATTGTCAGACTACCAGCCACTCATCTGTTTTCCCACTTCATCTATTTATTTTTTATAGCGTCATTGAGATATAATTTACATGTCATAATGTTTCCATTGCACAGGTCATTGGTCTTTGCTATATTTGTGTAGTTGTGTAACTATCGCCATAATATAATTTTTGAATGTTTTCAGTGTCCCCCAGAGAAATCCTGTTAGCAGTGACTCCCATTATTCACTTTCCTGATGCCAGATCAACTGCTTGTCTCTAGATTTATCTATTCCGGACCTTTCATATAGTGGGATCATAGAATATGAGGTTATTTGTGTCTGACTGCTTTCACTTAGCATGTTTTCAATGTTTGTCCATATTATAGCATGTATCAGGACATAGAGGGTTTTTTTTTCTATTTCCAAATAATATTCCACTGTATGGATACACTACATTTTGCTTATCATTCATCGGTTGATATTTGAGTTGTTGTTACCGTTTGGCTATTATGAAGACTGCTGCCATTGACACTCATATACAGATGTTTGTATTAGCATATGTTCTCATTTCTCTTGGGTATATACCTGAGGTGGGATTGCTGGGTCATATGATGGCTCAGTGTTTCACACTGAAAGGATCTGCCAGACTGTTTTCCAAAGTGACTGCAGAGACCTGTTTTTGTAAATGAAGTGTTTCTGAGTACACAGCCACGCCCACTTTTTTACACACGTTCTATACCTGCTTTCGCAATCCATAGCTGAGGACATGTGGTACAACACGGACCATGTGCTCTACAAAATCTAACGTAGTTAATGCCTGGCCCTTTACAGAAAAATTGTGTGACTGACCTGTAGTATAAAGGAAGACATATCCACTGAAAATCACGTAAATATTAAAAAAAACAGAAATAAATATAAACAAATAAATTTAAAACAGACCAACTGAGGCCCAGCCTGGTATGGCTCAGTGGACTGCCAGCCTGCCAAAGAGTCACCAGTTTGATTCCCAATCAGAGCACATGCCTGGGTTGTGGGCCAGGTCCCCAGTAGGAGGCACACAAGAGGCAACCACATATTGATGTTTCTCTCCCTTTCTTCCCCCACTCTCTAAAAAGAAATAAATAAAATCTCTAAATAAAATAAAACAGACAAATTGAAAATGAAATTGTAGTAGTGAAAAATAGACTAGTTGAAATTTTTATATATTAATATTCAAGATAAACTCTAAATGAGACACAGAGAAGAGGGAATTAATGAAATAGAATTTGAAGCTAGGATTGAGAAATTCACCAGTGAAACATAGAAAAAAGAGAAAATACCAAAGCAAAGCTAAGAGATATGGGACTAGGTTGCCAAAGGAAAGGATACAGGAAATGGAGAGAAGGCAGATTTGAAGAAGTAATGATTGTGAGTTTCCCAGAATTAAAAAAAAAAAGTAACCTAACTATGCTTAAG